AAGCATTTCAAGAACTAAAACGATGCCTGCATACACCGCTAATGCTAGCTCATTTCGAGGAAAATGCTGACACAGAAATCCATACCGACGCAAACAGTGTAGGGCTCAGAGCTGTCCTGGTGCAGAAGATTGCCGGGCTTCAAAGGGTCATCAACTATGCAAGCGAGTCGTTATCTAAGGCGGAAGTCAACTATTCCACAACAGAAAAGGAGTGTCTTGTCATCATTTGGGCTACCTCCAAATTTCGCCCTTACCTCTACAGCAGGCCTTTCAAAGTTGTGAGCGACCACCATGCCCTCAGTTGGCTAGCTAAGTTGAAGGACTTTTCAGGTCATCTCACACAGTGGAGTCTGCGACTGCAGGAATTCGCCATCACCGTCGTTTACAAGTCGGGGCGAAGGCACTCTGATGCTAACTGCCTGTCTTGCGCCCCCGTCGACCCACCGCCGTAGGACAAAAAAGACGGCGACTGCTATCTGGGAACCTTAGACGCCAATAATTTTGCAGAACGACAGCGTGCCAACCCTGAAATCAAGGGCCTTGTGGAATACCTAGAGGGAAAGGCTGCCGTTGTTCGAAAAATATTCATGCGAGTACTGGCGTCGTTTTTCTTGCGTAACAGCATCCTTGTCAAAAAAAACTTTTCACCTGTGGGGTCTCGAACTGGCCAGCGAGCGCCACGCTCTTAGAGTGAAAGGACACAGCAGACGCGGTCGGTACAAACCAAACAATACACATTTATTTAACCAATTTAGAACGACAATATCGTCCGCCAAATCGATACATCAATTGTAATTAACCCGCTAAGATATCCTTACACAATATTATCATACAATCCATGACAAACACAATAACACACCCAAGGCGGCGGCGCCAACGCTTGACTTACCACGAAAACCCACCACGCGCAGTCACTAGAGACAACCGTTCGCAGCAACCGCCAGGCGCAGAAGAGACTCGCTTAACTCTCGCCCGCCACCAAATCTTGCCTTCCGCCAGGGGTCACCGCCGGCGCTACACCATGATTATGATAGTGGTGATCAACGAGAACACAACACCACCTACCGACCAGTGGTTGTAACCCCAAATGCGGCTTTTGGGCGAGACACGAGCGTCTCGTAGCGCAAACAACATTACATAGAGTGTCAGCACCCCCCTCACATTACATCGGGCCAACTACCTCCTCGTAGTACCTTCAGTGTTACGTCCAGAAGTTTTGGATGCTCTACACGACGACCCGACAACTGGACAACTTGGTGTTTCCCGTACACTCGCGAGAATACAGGAGAAGTATTACTGGCCATTACTTGCCACCAACATCACTCGTTACATCAGGACATGTCAAGACTGTCAACAATGAAAGACACCGCCGACTAGGCCAGCCGGACTTCTCCAGCCTATCGAGCCATTTCACCGGCCATTTCAGCAAATCGGCATGAACTTACTGGGGCTGTTCCCGACGTCGAATTCCGGAAATGAATGAAATGTTCTAGCTACTGACTACCTCACCCGCTACGCCGAAACAAGGGCTCTCTCCAAAGGCAATGCCACCGAGGTAGCAAAGTTCTTCATCAAGAACATCGTCTTGCGTCACGAAACTCCAGAAGTCCTCATCACAAACAGAGGTACGGCCTTTACGGAGGACCTAACTCAGGCGATCCTAAGGTACAGCCTACAAGTCACCGCCTGCCATGCACTGAACAATGGCCTCACTGAGCGTCTCAATAAGACCATCGCCGATATGCTGGCCATGTACGTCGACGTCGAGCACAAGACATTGGATGAGCCACCGTACCACCGCAGCACAAGAAACAATGCAGATGACGCTGTAAAAGTTGGTCTATGGAAGGAAACCGACAACGACGCTCGACGCCATGCTGCTAAACGTCGCTGATGAAGAAAACCTCGACGTCACCGTCTGCCTTCAGTGCGCAGAAGAAGCTCATCCATTCGCCCACCTGCGCATCAAGAATCAGCAGGCAGCCAACAGCCGTTGGTACAATCTTCGACGAAGCTTCGTCGAGTACCAGTCCGGTGACGGCGTCTGGGTATGGACGCCGATACGCCGACGTGGACTCGGTGAAAAACTTCTACGATGGTACTTCGGACCGTACAGAGTAGTTCGACGTCTCAGCCCACTCGACTACGAGGTTGTTCTCGATGGCATTGTGAACTCTCAACGGCGCCGTGCTCGACCTGAAGCCGTCCATGTCGTGCGCCTCAAATCATTTCATGCGCGAACCTGAGGACTCTATTTTGTTGTTGTTGATGTGCTTTATTTCTTGTATTTATTGTCTTTATTACTGGACCTTCATCTTTTGTTAAAGCATCGGGACGATGCCATTTTTAGAGGGGGCGATGCCACGTTCCTTTCAAGTTTTTTTGTAATTCTGTTACAATATGTTGAGCGTGAACCGCGCCTACGTTGTTTGAAAAGCTTAGAGGATGTAGTAGATTGTTTTGTTAAGATTATGCCCACTTCGTGAACATTTCAGATTATTCTGGAACCTATGTCGCCGCTAGCGATAACGCTAGACCATTTGATGGCAAGTGTATAAATGCTGACGCGCTTCACTGCTTGTCAGTTTATTGACGGCCAACGCTGCATTCCTCGTTATCAGTACAAGCTTGCTACTGTGATCCGACTTTCCGTTTACCGGGCACAGGTTCGCCCAAATAAACAGTTCAATCTTCAACGTACTGTCTGCTTCTTCGTCGACATCACAACCCCATGACAGCATTGAGAGCGCTCCTGCTCCACATGTGAAGTTTTCGGTTGCAGTGCAGCCAGATCTTTGTGTTTCAGCTTGTTTTGTGAAGCTTCCATCTGGAACAGCAGTCCCAGACAAAGTGCACAGCATTTCTAAAGTAGGTTTAAGTTTCCTTAGCTCTCCACTGTTCACATGGTACCAATTACAAAACTTTCAGTTGAAAAGTTTAATAGTGGAAGCTTCGCAAACGAATTCCTTTCTCACTCTGATCAATGAAGTGTTGTTCGATCAATGACAATGTCTGTTAAAAAATCCTTTGGAAATATAGGCATGCTCCAATAGACACACATCAGAAACTGTGATGCATTTAATAGTGAACGCAGCGACAAACAGCCTGTTGAACAATTTTTGCAAACTTAGAAATGATGCAGTGCAATATGATGCCCCCTTCCACAAAAAAAAAAGCAACCGCGCACAAGGCATGCATATTAATAAAGTGAGATGTGCGTGATGTAGCGACATTTTCAATACAGCGGTTTTGTGCTTGCATTTCTGTACCCCCCCCCCCCCTGCAGTACATTGGAAAAAAATAGCCTCTTTTACAAGCATTTATCATGTCTTAAGGCGACACAAAAAGTTGACAATGTATAAAAATGTGTATGTGATTGGACGTAAGAAACGTCTGATTTTCAATCGTACAGTAAAGGTGTCACGAAACAACTCTCTGTGTCTTCAAAGCAGACCAACAACTTTTGCGATTCCTGCTATAAAATTACTAAATTACTCTGTCTTAGTAAGTGCGTACAAGAAGTTCTAGCTTTCGTTAAATTATTTTGGCTCCGTATACACTACCCCTATTGCTATAAATGGAAAGAACCTTTGGCAGCACACAGGTGTGGAGCGAGGGGTGCGGGCAAGTACCGTGACATCATTATGCCAGGAGGCCTTGAGCTAGTTTAGGTGGTGTTGGCTGAACACGTCAGAATACTATCGATGTCTCATGGCCGGGAACGCGCTGATGAGCCTTGGAAGCTCTTCGTGCTCTCAATAGAATAAATGTGTGGCCAGGTTTTCATTACATAGTGGGGCGTTTAGAATGCGTCTTTCTCGAATCCTAATGATAATGAAGTGCTGTGTTTTCAATAGCACACATATGCGAGACTTCAGCCAGCGAGTAAATACAATTGCGCATACTTGTGCTTTCAAACAGCAGTGTGTCTCTCTACCATGACAAATTGAATGAGTTCCCAGTGTCATAACTGGGGTTTCCAATCTATAAAATGAAATGATCAGCCTAAATCTTGAAAACAAAGGTCAGTGAAAAAATTTAAGGACTCTTAAATTTAAGGACCTTTAAGAGTTGAACGTGATAACAATATCCGGTCCCTAGTGTGTACTTCAAACATTTAGTGCATGAAATCTTTTCAAACTTGCTATGCACGCGCTGCTCATATGATTGAATAACTCTGACTGGCATTGCATGCATTGGATACTGGTCACAACGCCAAGACGACCTGCAGTAAAAAAATTAAGAAGACACACACACTGCGGTTCAACCAGGACTACAAACACACACAAAAGTTCAGTAGGGTTGAGAGCTGGGCTAGTTGGTGAGACATCATTTTACCATATGGTGTAGTAGCGCAAATTCACGGGGACGAAGAGGACAAGAAAACACGACACTCGCAACTAATTTTTAAACTAAAATTAGTTGCGAGAGTAGCGAGTGTCGTGTTTTCTTGTCCTCTTCGTCCCCGTGAATTTGCGCTATACTACACCATATGGTAAAATGACACACAAAAGTAAAGGTGGTAAAGGCGAAATCGGAACTCCAGAGTAGAGTCAACGAGAGTAGCAAATGCTAGTTGTAGCGCTGAAGCACATGGTGAAACAGGCTGTGGAGCGGTGCGCCTGGTTATTTTGACCTAGTGCATTCTCAGCTCTACAGTCGCTGTTCAAAACACATTCCACTGTTTCCAAGTTAAGCATAATATGTTAGGGCTACAATAATGCATTACTTACTTTTCTATAGTGCAATGAAAAACCACATTTTCGATATTACCCGCCTCCGTTTCTCGGAGCTGGAAACACGTAACTTCATTTAACCACACTGTAACGAACCATAGAGTCTTAATGGCATGATTTGGCCGCAAAAGAGACACACACAAGAAAAGGAACACTCAAACGACAAGCACAGGCGTAGACATAGAGTCTGTCGAAGAAAGAAATAAGTAACATGCATAAGTTTGTTTGATATCATGACAAAGGAAATAAGCGACACTACGTCACCTGCGAATGTTGGCTGCTTGTCGGTGAACACACACATTTCGCGTGCCGTCCATTGAGTGCGTTTGACGTTCCGCGTTGGCACCATTGGTACCACTTTTCCACTCGTCACTGACGCCTCAGCAGATGACACCTTCGCGAGTATATTCAGCGAAGTGGACGAATCTCGGCAGCGTCAGAGTCCTTCAATGCTCTGGCAGCGTCAAAGCCACCCTGGCGCTTCAGTGATGGCGAACTAAACTTCTCAGACGAGTCAACAATATGAAAGTGGCGCGTCTGTCCACCACATGGTGGTGATAGGCAAGAGGTAAACAAATAGACGCACATCACGCTCTAATAGCTCCCTAGATAAAACAAGGGCAAGGTTAAAAGATGTTTTTATCTAGGGACCTGAGCCAACGCCTCCTAGATTTCCTGTGCCTGCAGAATAAGCGCGAAACACCGGTCATTTATGGCGGCGCTGCCTACGTAGGGGTAAGGGTCTTTGTACTTCGCCTATAAGATTAGCAATTCTGGCGTTTGCTAGTAATTTGAGAGGATGCCTTGTAATAAAAAAAAAGTTGCTTGCTAAATGACTGCATCACTTACGTATGGCTAAATATATTTACTTTTACGCCTTTCTAAAACTTTTTAACGTTATTTTTGTTGCATATAAGCTCTAAAAACGTAAAAACCTACTTAAAAACACCCCTCCCCCCCCCCCCCTCCTACTTGAGTGACGCCACTATTGTAGTTCCTACAACCGCCGCTTCCCAAGTGACCACCGATAATCCGGCAGGCACAGGAAATCTAGGAGGCGTTGCCTGAGCCAACGCCTTCTCTAGAAAGATGCCTGAGGAATGGCTCACGCTCCCAGCAAAGTTGGCCTGCCTTCAGTTTTAAACAAGCTCCGCGCAATGGCGCTCGCGACCGACACTATGGGCAGAAGCGGAAAAGAGAAAAGAACTCCAAAAAGAGCTCGGAGCGTCGCGTGAGCGAGAGGAGGCTACCGCCAGCCTATTAGAGCAAATGAAGGGTGACCTTCAAAAAGAACGGGAAGGGGAACCGAGCTAGAGCAGCGGGTAAAGGAACTAATGGCGCTTTGCCCCGGCCCGAGTTGTGTGAGACGGAAGGTGTGGGTAGCGGAGAAGGCGACAGGCGGGAAGGAACAGGCGAGAAGGAACAGGCGAGAAGGGAGGTCAGGGGGCCGCAGTGTCTGGCCACAGCACGGAGGCTCCGAGAACATACAACTCGGTGGTGCAGCATCCGTGTGGTGCAGCAGTCTCAAGCAGGGCAGAAACACAGGACAGACGGCAGAGAGAGAAACAGGTGAAGCAAACAGGGGCGCCATCACAAACAGGAAGCCAGCGATTGGAGCGTAGAAGGGTCCTAGTGGTGGGGCACTCTAACGTGGCCAGGATTAGGGATGGCCTCTTCAAGACAGTGAAGGAAGATGGGAGAGTCAGGGTGGAGGCACAGTCAGGGAAGAGCATGGTGGATGCACTGGCCAAAGCTCAGGAGGTTGTAGAAAACAGCATGGAGGGCGAAAATCTAGTCATTATTCGTGCTGGGGTCAATGATGTGTTGAAGGGCAAGGATCAGAACCTTCAGAGAAAGTTAGAGAATGGGATGTGTAAGCTCCGAAAAGCCGCTGGGCATATGTGACCATATGCACAGTCCCAGAGGTCTGGGGGCAGCCTCGTGGGATTGAAAGGAGGGTACTGGAGGCCAATTGTGTGATCAAGGGTTCGAGCCAGTTACTCGGATACAGCGTAAAGAAAGTTAACCAAGACGTGTACGAGCCCGGCGCTCACCCCTTTGCACAGGATGGCATTCACTACAGTGGAGCGACGGGCAGGAGGGTCGGTAACAGAATGGGTCGCCAAGCCATAGCTTTTTTAGGGGGACCCAGAACCCTGAGGCCAACAGTGTAGCCAAAGACGGACCTAAAGGGGCACAAATATTCAAGCCACACGAAGTGCGTGGGAGAAAAAATCGACGTAAGCACAAGGGCCGAGCTAAGTCAGACGTAGGCTATATTAACATGTATGGTGGCAGGAATAGGTTAAAGTGGGAAGAGATAGAAGAGCAGTTGAGGCAGGAGGAGCTGATGGTATATGGGGTTGTGGAGACACATCTTCGGGACCTGGAGCAACCACCCTGCAATCTCGACTACGTATGGAAATATTGCAATAGAATAGAAGGCATTAAAAAGGGGGGTGGGTGGAATTGATGCATTTATACATAAGAACACGGGTTGGCAAAGAGTCAAGCAGGGATGCAAGGAACATTTATGGCTAAAAGGAAAAGTGGCAGGGCAAATGACACTCCTTGGTTTCGTGTACTTGTGGACGGGAGCAAAGGCCAGAGAGGAAAACCAGGCAATGGTAGAGTGTATATCAAATGACTATCAGGAGTTAGGAGGAGAGTGCGAGATAATTATACTAGGAGATATGAATGCACACATAGAAGCTATAGATGGGTATACTGACTCAACAGGCAAAATGATCATGAATATGTGTGAAAGGCACGATTTGATCATTTGCAACAGTACCAAGAAGTGTGAAGGGCAAAAAACATGGGAGGTAAGAAGGCTGCAGTCAACGATAGATTACGCACTGATGTCACATAGGATGTATGATAAGCTCAGGAGAATGCACATAGATTAAGGTGGCTCCAGAAGTCTGGGTACTGATCACAAACGTATCAAGCTAAGTTTTGGAAAAGCAGCGAAAGTGGGAAGGACACAAGATGAGCAACTACAGGAAAATTTTCATTCAGAAAGGCAAATAGAAATCGCTACTAAACAAATTGAGAAAGTAATCACTGAGGATAATAAGAATGTGTGGACATACACAAATCTAATTAGACTGTTTGGGCTAGAGCTTGCTAAGGCACATGACAAGTCACCTCGGAAAAGAAGACACAAGCCCAAGAGTTGGTGGGATGAGGAAGTTAAGAGAGCCATAGCAAAATGTCAGGAAGCCTCTAGGGAACACAGACATACTAAGCAACGGGGTGAACCGATAGATGATGTTGAAAGAAAATGGGAAATCTTTCTAAGCTCTAGAAGGGAAGCATCCCTCCTGATCAATGAAAAGATTAGAAGAAAGGGTGCTCAGTGGCTGGCAGAAGTAATAAAAAGGACAGAAAGGCAGCTGCGAAATACAGGAACCATCTAAACTCCCTACAAAATAAAATAAATCAATAGCAGAGGTTTGTAACTACAGCTCAAGGTGCTAGGCTAGAAGGGGACGGAGCTATTGAATATATAAGAACAAGGGTGACAGAAAAATTTCAACAAAGAAGTGCCTTATGCACCACAATAGACAGGGATGGATAAAGTGGCACAATGGCTCCATTTTCACAACGAGAGTGAGAAAGGGCTGACAAGAGGATTCCAAGTAGTACATCAACAAGCCCAGATGGCATTCCTATTATGCTGATAAAGACATTGGGTCCCAAGTCTAAACAGACTTTGAGAGAGGCAGTGAGCAGAACAATAATCGATGGTGAGGTCCCTGATGGATGGAAACTTAGCAGGATGAGCATGATCTCTTAAGGAATTAAAGGGGGACAAAGATGACATAAACAACTACCGTCCTATAACAGTGATATCAGTGGTCTACAGGCTGGCGATGCAGACTATAAAGGAAAGACTGCAGGCATGGATAGAGAATGAGGGGGTGCTGGGGGAACTGCAGAATGGGTTTCGGGAACACAGGAGGTTGGAAGACAATCTGTTCTCACTGACGCACTGCATCGAAATAGCAGAAAAAGAACTCAGGCCCCTGTGGCTAGCATTTTTGGATATCAAGGGAGTGTATGATAGCGTGGTTCAAGAGGACTTGTGGGGAATACCAGACACACTGGGTGTGGAAGATGGAGTCACTAATCTTTTAAAGGAAATCTATAAAAGTAACAAGGTAGTTATAAAGTGGGAAAAACAGGTATCCAAGCCCACAGAGGTGAAACGGGGACTTAGGCAGGGGTGTCCACTGTCACCCTTGTTATTCATGATGTACCCACAAGGAATAGAGGACAAATTAGAGGGAAGTGGACTGGGCTTCAACCTCTCTTTCGTCAAACAAAGAAAACTCGTTTAACAGGCACTACCAGCATTGATGTACGCAGATGATATGGTGCTAATGGCCGACAACAAGGAAGATTTGCAGAGATTGATGGACATCTGCGGCAATGAGGGAGACAGGTTGGAGTTCAGATTCATTAAGGAAAAATCAGCAGTCATGATTTTTAATGACAATGAAGGTAGTAAGCTTAGAATACACGAGGTCACGCTAGAGATAACAGATAAGTACAAATATCTGGGCGTATGGATAAGCAATGGGGCCGAGTACCTAAGGGAACACGAAACATGCATGACGACTAAAGGTAACAGGAATGCAGCAGTGATGAAAAATAGGGCATAGTGGAATTACAATAGGTATGATGTGAGAGGAATATGGAAAGGGGTCATGGTTCCTGGGCTGACGTTCGGCAATGCGGTCTTGTGCATGAGATCAGAAGTTCAAACAAGATTAGAAATTAAGCAACGTGGAATAGGTAGGCTTGCCTTAGGAGCTCACGGGAATAAACCAAATCAGGGAGTACAAGGTGATATGGGATGGACATCATTTGAGGGCAAGGAAGCTAGCAACAAGACAAAATTTGAGAAGCGATTGAAAGAAATGGGGAAAAAGCGTTAGCCTAGGAAGATATTCAGCTACTTGTACATGAAGAATGTTGATACAAAATGGAGGAAGCGAACCAGAGAATTGACTGGTCAATACTTGGAAAAGAGCAGGGGGCCAAACCAAAAAGAGTTGTCGGGAAGAAGGTGAAGGAAGCTGAGACCAATATGTGGAAAATTGGCATGATTAAGAAGTCCACGCTAGAGATCTATCGAACTTTTAAGCAGGAAATTGACCAGGAAAGGATCTGTGATAATACTCGAGGTAGTTCTCTACTGTTTGAGGCCAGGACAGGAGTATTGCGAACCAAGACATATCGGGCCAAATACGAAGGGGTAGACACGGTATGCAGTGCGTGTGGAGAGGAAGAAGAAACTGCCGAACACTTGATGATGTTCTGTAAAGGGCTTAACCCTATTGTTCAGGATGATGGCGCAGAGTTTTTCAAAGCACTGGGGTTTAGGGACAGGGAGGGCAAAATAGACGTTAATTAAGCGGGTAGAATTACCTAGAAGGAGGTTATCTGATTGGTGGCTAAAGTCAAGGCACGAGTGAAATTTAAACCCTTCACTGCAAAGTACGAATCCCCAGCCTCACTATTTAAAGGGAAAAAAATATAGTTTTTGGTTCATTAGGTATTACGGATTGGTGGCGCAAGCCACCGTCCGATCTAAAGGGTACAGCACTTTAAACTGGTAGGTGTTCTGTGGTACAGTCATATTTATCCATTTTACTAGTTTGTGATTTCATGTGGTAGACGAACGTGAACAGGAATGATATATTTAAGGGACCAAACAGATTATCTAAAACGACTTCCCAAACGAACCTTGTACTAACTTACTCCTCATGAGCGCCACGAATCAACAACATACTT